AGTAAATTGCAACGACCGTTGATCAGCTACTAATATTCCCATAATAATTTTATTATTATCATCTGCCTACAAGTTTTTTGATGAAGAAGTTATGTTAGGGAAATTAAGAGCATGTTTGGATTTTTTAGTTTTAATTTTCAAAACTTTAACCTTGGCCATATGATCTGCTATACGGGGGCATCAGTGTTTCACAAACACCTTGTTTTAAATACCAACGCAGAGAGGTATGCATTGGGGCTGGGTATTGACTAGAGATTTCCTTTTGCGATATACTGCAATATTTTTAATTGTATCGCGATATGTATTGCAATACTTTCAACAAAAATAAAAATATTTTTTGTTATTATATTTACTTCAATTTACATGTAGAATGTACATAACTATGATAAATGACCAGGAAAAAAATCATGTTGCTTTAATTACATTTATGCACCGAAATGCTCCCATACAACAGTTTTTGTCTTACTGTTTGGCATGATCGCAAACGTTTCTGACATCTTATTCTTTATATTTTATTATAGAAATCCTTTGTCCAAGCATTTTGATGGTATATCGATAGGTACTACAAAAACGTATTGCAATACGATATTTTTGTCATCGTACGGCAATACACCGGAATATCGGTATTATTGCCCAGCCCTAGTATACATGTTATAAGGTTTGGAAAATTGTACGGGGTATATTTCTATACTAGTATATATAATTATATTCTCATAACAATTCTTTTTTCCCCAGGTCATTGGATGAATCAGGAGTCCCGGATACTGCACAACACTACATAGAGTGTGACACATATGGATGCACACGGTACTCAAGGTTTTACTGCAGAACATGCTATCAGAGGGTATGTGAGCAATGCAAACTTAAGCACATGAAGGATCCTCTAAAAAGTAACCATGATATAGTGATGTACCAGGACAGGCTGAGTTTTCTGCCCGATGATAAAAGTCAGTTGAGACTATTTTCTGAGAAAGTCAACAGGTAATTTCATATCAAATGAATTGTAATTATTTTTGTTCCTTTGTTACGAGGGAGGGCTGTTCCGAAATCATTGAGACGTTTACGCCTAATTAATAGGTAAATTAGACAAGCCCCAGTGAAATTATTAACTTGCATGTGTGTATTGATCAGGAGCAGCATTGCTACGCCATCTTAACGTCACGCCAGCCGAAGATTTTTTTTTTCATGTTGAAACGATCGGGAAGCGTTAACTCTTATTTCTCTTTCATCACATATAACATTCTAGAAATCAAACTCTTTCTTTTCTGAAGTGGTTCTTCAAAAAAAGAAAAAAAATAAATAAATAATAATAATAAAAAAAAAAAAATAAAAAATAAAAATAAAATAAAATGTGTGTTGTTACCCTTATGTAAAATTACATGAAGTGTAACTTACAGGTTGACTTAGCATCACGCAGTACTGATTTTTGCTCCGTGGGTCAACGTTAATTTAATTCTTAATAACTGATGGTCGTCCGGAGCCTTTATTATTACTCTGGTTGAATTATGTGTAAAAAAAAAAACCATACCAATGAGAAACAAACCCTCAGGCAATATTTTTCATTGTTATTGTTTTCGCAGATCGCTTAGTCTGGACAAGAGCTCTTCACAGCGCTACAAAATTTTTAGCTATGTTCTCTGCGCCTCCTTGAGGTCAAAATTCATGTTGTCGTCGTAATCAGATTTATTTACCGTTCTTAATTTTTTTTTTTTTATGATCTTCGTTTTTCTGATCGAAATCATCTCAAATTTGTACAAAATGAAGTCAAAGTAAAGCCATAAAAATATATACATCATTTGAATTATTTTCGCTTTTACTGTACATGTGGGTCCAATGGGAGTTTAAAGGTCTGTTTCATATTTTCAATATCTGATTTCGTGTCTGCGCCGGGTATCCCTACTACAGACACATTAAAATATCATGGAAAAGAAGATATAATAAAATTGTAAAATATTTTTTGTTTTATAATTAAATCTTAGTGTTTATCAAACGTTTATGCCAATTTTCACCATAAGACGTTCGTTAGAAAGAAGAATAAACACAATGCTTCAATAATTTCCGAACAGCCTTCGTATATAAGTTTATATTAATTATTGTATACGTGTTTTGATTCATGTATTTGTGAAGTATGTCTTAAGAAGTTTAAATGAAAATTGTTAAATGATTTACAAAATAAATAAATAAATAATACCCCGTAATTTCATGTCGAAGCATAATTTATCTACAGTGCCTTCAAGCTTTGACCACAAATCATGAAAAAAAAAAACCCTGAAATATTCTGTTTTTTCTATTAGTCCCCTACCGGTGAAACCGGAGGGGACTATAGGTTTCCTCTGAGTCTGTCCGTCCGTCTGTTAGCTGTCCGTCCGTCCGTCTGTCTGTCTGTCAGTCTGTGCCACTTGGTTTTCCGCACTTTTTTCTAAACGCTTGCAGATATTGAGCTGATTTTTGGTATGTGTGTGTATCCTGCTGAGTTACAGATCAACTTTGCATTCGTTTTGCTTCAATAATTTTTGACGGAATTACGACCTTTTCAATTTTTCGGGGTTTTCCGCAATTTTTTCTAAACGCTTGCAGATATTGAGCTGATCTTTGGTATGTGACTTTACCTTGATGAGATATAGATCAAGTTTGCATTTCGTTTCACTTCATTGATTTTTGATGGCATTGGCATTTTCAATCTTAAACGGGAACTAGATTACACGCCGGTAGGGGACTAGTATTGCTAATGCAATACTCCCAGAATGCTTGTTATATGATTGTGCAAACTTTTCTTATGGCATGAAAAGCGACGTTTTGCCGTTTAGCTGGGCGTTGTTAATCTAATATATATATATATATATATATATATATATATATATATATATATATATATATATATATATATATATATATATATATATATATATACATGTATATATATATATATATATATATATATATATATATATATATATATATATATATATATATATATATATATATATATATATATATATATATATATATATATTAGGGATGTCAGTTTGTAATCGGTTAACCGGTTACTCGGTCGGAACGTTGGTAATCGGTTAGAAAATCTGTAATCGGTTAGTCGGAAAAAAATTATATATGTGTAAATTTGAACACAATATCCTGAAAATTCAATCAAAAAATAAATTTTCACCCATCTATTTCTTAGGCTGGTCTGGAGATAATTAAGACTCTCCTAATTAGCATCGTGGGGGTAATTAGTCAGATTTCGAGATGTTAATTGCAGTTTAAACACCATGTCGCTACCCAGCCGGTCCTGTGTTTCTTTAATGATTAATTTCAATTGAATGATCGTTGAGTACCATGAACTGATTATAATGTGTACCCTACCCCTTTTATCTTTTGCAGTTACATATCAAATTATGTTATTAAACAAACATTGTAAATTAAGCGATAGTTCAGACTTAATTTTGAATATGTGAAAATGCAGGTTGAAATTGTGAGACATCTCTTCTGAATTTTTTTCAAATACTTGTATACCTGATTCTTCAGGCATGTTTCATGGGTTTCTTAATTTTTTTCTTTTTTCTTTTCTTTAATTTGCTTTAAATTGAAATGAAAATATACTCGTATATATTGTTCGGATAAACATAATATTACTACATGTAACATCTTTATAGACTGTCTATTTAAGTAGAACTTACAATAATGCAATACGTCGAGAATTTTTGATACGATTAACCGATTAATCGGTCGGAACGTCTTGCGGTTTACCGATTGGCAATTCTGCATTCGATTGCCTCCCCTAATATATATATATTTTATATATATATATATATATATATATATATATATATATATATATATATATATATATATATATATATATATATATATATATATATATATATGTATGTATGTATCGTAGAAAAATGCATCTGTTCCACAGATTAAAACAGATAAGTGAGAACTTTACTAGCCAAAAGGTTTCCTTTACTTTATTCTACAGGATGAATACGATGTCTCGTGTTTCAGAAGTGATGTATGTTGAAATGTGTCGTAAAATAGGAACTCAAACGGAAGTGACCGTCAGGAGGGATGTGCTGGATCTTGCAGAGATGATAAATGAAGCACAGGGTGAATATCAAGCCAGCTGTTCGAGAAATGTGAGAACTGGAGGCAGTAGGGATGGGTTTCAGAAAACGTTATCTGATAAAATGGATTTTATGTGCCCTCAATATAATCATTATGTGATATGTGACTTTTCACAGGTCCAGGCTTATCATCCACCCAGAGACACTCTTATTTACATGGATACTTCTCTTAACCAACCAGGATTTGCAAGATTAGAACTTTTAACGGAATCTCGATCTGTATTTGTTATTTCTTCACTTTTGAACATGAACAATGTTGTTTATATTTCATCTTCTTTATTTAAAAGTGCTTTTTTTCGATTTCAGTTATCTTATAAATCATACCTAAACTTTGAGAGTATGACCATACAAGGACCAGGTTTTGTTATTTCTTCACAATCTGGTAATGATGTTTATAGGGTGGAATGCCTTCATTCTCGCCATTGGCCTTCCGCTGCTTCACTTTGGGTTGACCGAAGTTTAGCTCACAAATGGCCGTCACGAGGTGTACTTCAATCAATTTTGAATGAAGGGTTTTACCTTGTTCCTATCGGAAGCAAACAATCAAAGGATTTCGACGAACTTGAACATGTTGAATGGAGACTTTCATTTTCAATTTCAGAGCAAATACTGGTACATTCTATGAACCATGTCCAGTTTCTTTGCTACGGCTTATTGAAAATATTGCTGAAGGAGATAATCTGTAACGAATTACTGTGTTCCTATTTCATGAAAACAGTTCTATTTTGGAGGATACAAAATGATCCATCAAATTTATGGACTCCGTCATCATTACTTCAAAATTTCTGGAATTGTTATAAATATTTGATACACAGTGTTTATACTGGGAATCTGCCGAATTTCTTTATACCAGAAAACAATATGTTTGCAACGATGGCTATAGGGCAAAAAAGGTTAGCACTATTTCAGAAACTAGAACATTTTTACAACATGGGTGTTGCTTGTCTTCTTCATAGTTCATCTCTCAGAGAAATACTTAACTCTGCCATTTGCGATCCATTCCTTACAGTACAGACAGAAGAAAATCAAATCAAGTCAGAGACGGAGATAGATATTGCTTGTTTCAAGGAAATTTATTCAGATTCAAATTTCAGAGTCAAAGAGTTTCGGGCAAATATGGCGAAATTAAACAAAATAAATATGCTACTGGTATCCAAAGGCTGCAGAAATTTTATATTACAGAAATTTATGGCAGACGTCCTCATATCAACTGCTATGTCAGTAAAGCTTGAATGCTCATCTGGTACTAATAGGAAACGCTATCATAATTCTGGGAGAACAATTATTCATTTATTTGACTTAGCTTCAAAAATAGGTTATATATCGGACATTTTATATCTAGCATTATATTTGTATGATAAAGGAAGATATCGTCTAGCATTAAGTGTCACAGAATTAGCAAAACAGAGACTTACACAGGGACATGTAATGTACAATGGAAATGTCGACCAAAAGATGTACAGCGATGTAGTGTGTGGCAAATCTCCATCAACAAAGTTAAGGAAACATTGGGCAAGAGATGTTACAATTAATGTAGAGTTTCCCTACATAGATGAATTGAAGTTGGAACAGAAAATAAGTTGGATGAACAGAATTGAGATTATCAAATTACCCCCTTTAGTGACGTCACATATGTTATGTGTACTATGTCACTTCAGACAAGGTAACAGGCCAAAGTACCAAGAGTCTCTGGCAGACCTGCGGACATTGTTGATCTGCGACAAAGGTTTATATGTACCTTTAGAATTAAGAGACATATCTTGGCAGATCTTGGGAATATGTCAGAATGTTGTTGGGGAATTCGAAAGGGCACTGCAATCTTATATAAAATCCACTGAGCAAATTCAACGCCATAAGATAAAGAAAGCTTCAGAGATTAGAATAGATGAGGTATACAAACAATTGGGTTTGTAACAACAAAGGATTTCATATTTTCATATATCAATATTTATCTATACATTGAAGCGAAGACTAATTTCAACAGCAGTATTCACTTGAGTAATATTATTTTGAAGAACAGATTGCTGGAGAAGAAAGTCATTCTTTCTGAGATATTGGTTAAACAGTACGATAATAAAAATGTCTGATATATTGTAAGTATCGTAAATCTGCTGTTGTTTGAGAAAATTTATGCATGTGTATTTATGTAATTATCATTTAGCCAAAAAATTGCTTTTTCTTGAGGTCAATAGATGATTAAGCTAACCGAGGAGTTTAATATTCTAGGAACCCAATTGAACGAAGTGAACACTGAACCCAATTGAACGAAGTAAATACTGTTCTTGAAGGGTTACTTTATTACAGTATTAATTAGCAAACATCATTTTTGCTATAATATTCAATGATTAAAGAGACACAACGAGTTATTCATTTTTTATGATGAATTAATCATAAATCGGAAGCTTTATTAAAAATACAAGCATAGAAAAATTTGAAAAAACCCAATCTTTAAAGAACGCAAAAATGCACTTAAGCAAGTTAAATGAAGGAAGAACAGAGGTTACATCGACCGCATGGTTGTCATCGTCTGTGTCAACGATATGTAACTTATATATAGCGTAAAACTCGTGTGAAATGGAATTGGAGCATACAAAGTTTAAGAATACGTTAAAGTTATCTTTTTTGTAGATTCTGTGAAAAAACTCGGTCTACCGACACATTTCTCTTCTTGGGACTTGGGGTCCTGGTGACCTGGTTATGTATTTTGTGTATGCGTACATTCAAGTGGGAGGAGAAAAGTAATATTGTCGTGATTGGCCATACAATAATTTTTTGTTCACCATTTTCACCGTAGATTTTTTGGAATCTGAAATCGTAAATTTCATGAATTCCAATACTTTTTGAATTTAATATAATTCGAGTGAGCCCTCAAGTGTTTCTTTCGATTTCCCTGGCCTGTTTTTGCGTTAATGTTTCTCTTTAAATGTAAGCAAGCATACTCGTTACTTTCTTAATTGGTTGTTTATGTTTTCTGAAATCCTAGTCTAAAGTAGGTAGAGAACGGGATTTCATTGGACGACAAAAATAAACATAATCAATCGTATAACTTTGAAAGTCCAACTTAGAAAATACCAAATGTTAAAAACGTTTGGAAGGTCGGGTGGAGGTGAATTAGGGTTGAATTAAAAAAAAAAATGACCACAAAAATTAACATACTAGATTTTGAAGCGATCCCTTACCTTATTTTGTTGCACTCCAGACATCTGATATGCATTTTATTAAACATTGTTCAGAAAAAATTATAACACACAATAACTGGTTCAAAGTTTGTAAAACAGTTTGTCTTGCTGATATTTTCTTATCATTTACGGCAAGTTTTTCATATTTTCAAGACTTCAAAACATGATTATTTGCTTGTGTAATATATTTTTAAAAATGTATGTTTAGTGATGGAAACTATTCTGTAAAATGTCCAAACCATATCTGTAATTGTTGATCATGTTGATAGACATAATGATTTGAACTACAAAAAGCATCAAACATTTTCTGCAATTTATTTTTCAGTAAAGATCGATAGAGTTCATTGATAATTTTAAAACAGTTTTGTTGTACTCCTGACTGCAGTAGAATTAAAAATTAAAACCACAGAACACAAAAATTCATGAAGTGTTGGCAACATCAAGTGGTAACGAAATTGTGCAATATTTATAGTCCATATTCATAGTTAAAAATTTAAAAAAAGTATGTTAACTTGGCTTTATACTTTGAATTATTTCCTATCTATGTAAAGGAAAAATACTTAAAAATATATTTAGAAGCTAAAAGTATATTTTATGGTATATTTTCCTTCACGGGACAAATACGGTAAGCAATTGAGGTCGACAAGTAACATTCTACTCCTGACCAAGAGCATGCGAGTCTTTAAAGTAGAATTGTGAAGCATAAATTACATCAGAACTTGTTCTTTTGTTTTAGTGAAGTTGAGGTGGAATTACTTGAATTTTATTTTTAAAAAATTAAGTGTGTGTTTTTTTAATTTATAAAAAAAAAACTAAAGAAAAGATTGAAAACACATCTGGATTGATAAAAATTGAAAAAAAAAGAGACGATGGGTTTTAATAATAAAACTGTCAATTATTTAGTACTAAATCATTCAAATAGATCATTACTGATTAAAAAAATATTTGTTACATGAATAAAAGTATTTTCATCATATAACTTGGATCTTAAAAATTTCCATAGGAATATAGATCTGACACACACAGACCCTGTAACTGATAAATCTATTTGGTGAAAATGTTCTTCGTGTCTTTATTTTCCAAAATAAAAATCAGAGAATCAACTACCAGTACTAATAAAAGTTTTTCTATGCTGGGAAGCGAAACATCAAATGTTGCACTCCTGACATGCTAGTGATTGGATATGCACATATACTTGACTCCCATTAATGCTACTTGTGATTTATATAACATTTTAACGTTGTATATGGTATCTCAGTTATTGTTTTATACTTTGAAAGTTCTTTTTTGACTTAATTATTTCACAGATTTTTAAAATCAACATTTCTGGTAACACTACATATTTTTCTGTTGCTCTCCTGACATGGTATAACAGTGTTAAGCATCAGCCATGACCACAACTTGGTCAAACAAACAGTCTACATTTAAGGCTCAGTACTTTGAATATGACCAGGAATGTCTTATTTCCAACATAACCGTTATTATTTATTTCACATGCGCAGATCTTTTTAAAATTTCACAAAAAGGTGTTGCACTCTTGACATTTTAGCATCATCTTTGGGTACAACTTTTTTGTGACTTGAGAATTCAGAAAGATATTTGGAAGATATTTAGACAATGTCAAAAAGACATATGCTGAGACGTAGAAATTAAATCCCATTGCCTGTATTTTTAGTTCAGGACTACAAATATGTGTCTGGTCATTTTTATTTTAATTCATCCAGAAAACTACGAATCATTCAATTTTACTATTATAATGATGATTTTAAGATGTACTGACCCTCTAATAAGAGAGATAAGTTTTAAATAAAAAAATGTTAATATTACTCAAAGTTTGTCTTACTAGAGATTTCGTAATGACAACCTTTGGATAGGTAATACAATCAAATCTAACATAGGACGGAAACTTTAACTGCTTTTCCCTTCAACCTCTATTTTTCATTGTTTTAATTGCTTTTGACATAAAACATTCACATCCAGATTTGAAACCCTTTCTTTTTATGAACAATTTTTAAAAAAATGCATCAACGAACCATGTACCATATTTAGAATCTTTCTTTATTAGTGTTACTTTTTTCCACCGAAAAATATTTTTAAGAAAGATAACTTTTCCTGATAGATCCATTCCTTTTTTTATAAACACAGATATTTTGATATTTTGATTTACGAAGCAGCGCTTTATTATATTTTATAATATGAATATTATTTTTATATACATATCATATTTTTCATTTTATGTTATAATAATAAATCATTGCTATTCCTATTCTTTGTGTAAGAATTTCTTCATATGATGGTCCGACATAAAAATCATTTCTGAAAAAGTGAACAATGTTTCATGCCTCATGAATACTGTCTTCCATTTGAATCTATTGTTATAGTTGTTGATGAAAATCAATGGTGGGAAGTTTAGAAAAAAAATTGTGAAATTTAGAGCAGAGGATCATTACTCCTTAAAATCAAATTATGATATTCATTAATATTTTCTTTATATTAATTTATTAATAATCAATTATTTATTTATTTGTTTGTTACATATAAGAATGACAAAATGTGGTTTAATTTCATTAAGAGAAGAATTTTTTTTACATAAAAGAACAAGAGCCTCCGACTTATGCTTAAATAATTGCAATTCCTGCACTATAGCTACTGAAATAAATATTCAGTAACTTGCATTCAAGGTTGGCTTCGTTTTCTTTCTAATGATTTCATTTATGTGAAAAATTACTTTACCCTCTGTTGATAGAATGGATATTACATGGACAACATCCCCAGAGTTTTGAAAGTTCCGTGTCAATTAAGAATACGTACACTGACAGGATTAATTGTGACCTTACCCTACATCAATCGGCTATGATTCGAATAAAAGGAACTATACTCAACAAGGAAGCTTTCACATAAGTTTTGACTTTTTTTGGCTAAAAGAACCTTGGGAATGGGCGTGGGAAATGTCTACAACTTTTATTTATATTTATAAAGTACAAATTCAGTGTTTTAGTGTTTTTGTTATTGAATGGCATATAGGGAAACCCGATCCTTCAACTGGCGTCGGAATTTCATAAATATTATGGAATCTGTAGAGGATTACGCCAGGCGATGGGCCAGACATGAAAAAGAAGACCTTGACACTTTGTCAAAATGGATTAAATGTATCAGATGTATGTTAAAATCACGCATTAAAAGATTGAGGGGCAATATGAGAACCATCTATCCTTCTGTATTCAATAATCAAGAAGTGAAAAAAGAATTAGATAGATTACATGATCAGTACGTACTGGTCCCTGCTGACAAAGCCAGGCCAGGTAACAACATTGTCTTTTTTTTTTGTAAGGCTCATTATATTAAATGTATCTTAAAGGAACTTGGATTTAATTCTACTCTACAAGTGGAAATCCAACTTATACTCATAGTTCTCTTTCTAAGGAGGAAATTCTTCAAAATCATATGTCAGTTTTGAATATTTTTAATATTCCAAACAACCAAAATGAATTTGAATTACCATATCTATATTGGATTCCCAAACTTCATAAAAATCCTTACAAACAAAGATACATAGCGGGTTCCAGTAAATGTTCAACCAAGTCTCTTTCTTTACTCCACACTAAGATATTAACAGTAGTGAAGAGGAAACTTCAAGAGTACTGTGCAACAATATATTCGAGAAGTGGTGTAAATTAGATGTGGATACTTAAAAATTCCAAGGAACTTTTGGAAAATTTGAAATCACAAGACTTA